TAGTTGCTTAATAACAAAATAAAATATTTCTCTGTCCATGTAGGTCAATGACCTTTAAACACTGTACCTGGTAATTCATTAGTTACCTGTTTATAAGGCCCATAAATTCATTACGATTACCAAGTGGTCCCGTCGCAACAACTGGGAAGCCACCAAATGATGTGTCCAGGAGGACGTGGGCAAGCTGACTGACCGTTGGACGACTTTGGAGTACTGTAGGTGGGGACGCCATTGCGTCTTCTGCTGAATACAACTCAAGATTAATGCTGCAAATGATACAAAGGACCATGTGACAACTATGTGACAACTATGTGACAACCATGTGACAACCATGTGACAACCATGTGACAACTATGTGACAACCATGTGACAACTATGTGACAAACAAATATTCCTAGGGAAAGTTAAATATAAGTATAGTGATCGTGCTGGAGACTTCAACATTCAATTTGCTTGCAAATGGGTTATTTGCAATGGTGGATTCAATTCTACTCAAGCTTTTGAGTGCCATTTCTGGCCATCTAGAGGTGCCATAATCATAAATTTCCTTACCTCAGCCCCAACCATGGTGGGGCTGAGGTAGTATAGACCCTCCATCTGTGAAAGTCCTTTCTTGGGCCCCTCTATTTCAAATTCCTGGATCCGACACTGATTTGACAATGTGTATTTTCAAACCACATTTTACCTTATCAAGGATAGTGAATCAATGAAAACGAGGTATATTTTAATTAAAATATTTGTTTCTTTGACATACCACTGAATTAATATATACAAAAATTACTCTACTACTTTCAAATTGATTGCTATCTTCCATTCGCAATTTGACTTCTGCAGCTTTTGTTAAAAGCAAGCTAAAACGAACCTTCTTTAGGAAAATTACTAACAGCAATTACAGTGACAACTCCTTGAGTGCCCTTAACTCCCGATTTAAGGGCACTATATAAATACAAGATTAATAATTATTATTTTATTACAAGCTTATTCACCTTTTGCCATCATGAAATATTACAGGTTCTGAATCAAGAAACGGAATACATTTGACTTCAAGAAGGGCGTGGTAGATGGGATGGGTAAACGCATCTCCAACCCACTTAGCGACCATAATAGCAACCATGATTGGAAGCAGAAACTGAATGTCATTAGTGATCTCCATCTAAAAAAAAAAATGAATTTAAATATCATTAGAAAAAAGATAATTTAAAATATACAGAATTACTGTATAAAGAGCATTTGATTTATTTCACATTTAACAGCATATCCACTAGCCAATTACAGTATGGAATAAGGCTAAAAAACGCCAATATTGAGGATTTGAGATTGGGGTTGTTTTAGTCGTATAAGGCAATCCACATATAAGACGACCCCCAAGTTTTGGATGATTTTTTGCATGATTTTAGTATGTCGGGTGCATAAGATGAACCCCCCCACCCCACGTTTCACTGTTGGAATTCTGACTTTTCACTGCTCTTTATGGTCTTCATACTGTATCTAGCTCGCTAAAAACGGAAACCAAATTTAGGGCTAATCTTCCATATGCTGTAATACCATTTTATAGGCTTTTAAATGTTTATAAAAGTATCACAATACTTGAACTCAAAACCTTCAGAGACTGCAATGCAACCTGTTCTAAACTGCATCTACACTAAAAAATATTTGAATAAAATATATATTGTAATATGCCTGTGAACAATACTTTTTTTTAGATTCTATGGATCAATATTTATGATTGTATTACCATGATGACTGTAAGAGACATTG